AGGAGTGGGTTCAGGTTCAGGTGTGGGACCAGGAGTGGGTTCAGGTTCAGGTGTAGGACTAGGGGCAACAGTAGGTTCAGGTTCATGTGTGGTAGGGATAATGTGAGTTGTTCCAGTAGTTGGTTGATGGCTGGTGCTACGAGGTTTACTGGTGGAAATCGTGGGAACCGTTGGTTTGGGAGGGATCGGCATAACAGTTGTATGAGATTCATGTTTGCTTCGAATATCGTCCATGTGAACGTAGGTGATGACATTCAGGACCAAGGACGCGATCAGCGACGCGCCGACTATGGCCGCCGCACCTGAACGAAAAATTGTTACAGAAAAACTTGCTTTTTCTTCGAAAAAGGTGCAAAATGCACAAGGGATCTGAAAAATAAATATTAATATTATTTTTAGTGAGATGTAGTAGATGACGGTAGGTGCAGCGCAACTTCATTTACGCAGTACGTTTTTGAGACGCTTTTTCCGCGTTGTGGCTTTTTCCGGGAATGACTCGATTGCCACGCGCGGAAATATCGCGTTCTGACCAAACGGCACACGCCCGATTGGTGCTACAAATTTCTGTCCAATGTCTGTGTCATCGGGCTTTTCCGCTGCTTTCATTCATATTGACAGAAACTATTTAGTGGGTGGTAGCCAACTCATGTAGTTGGTAGCTGTAATTCGTGACTTAAAAAGCGCAAATGTCGACGGTTGACTAATAAATTAACAATGAAATGGTGAATAATCTAAGTATAAATATACTTCCACCAACTTCGGGAACACCCAATCAGAACCAAAGTCGCTACATAAACTGTGCGTGATACTGACCACAACAAATTCGTTGAAAATAATCCTTGAAGGGCATGTTTATTGGAAAGGCGATAGTTTTGCAACTTTCCAGCACGACAACCCTCACCGCCTAGAGACCATAATGCCAGGAATGCACAGATTGAATCGTCGGTCTCAAGTTGATGTGAGAGGATTAGAAAGAACCCTCACTTGAACACATGCTCATGCGCTGTAACGTCTTGGCGACCATCTATTTGTTAAATGTTAAACATTCCGAGTTCCGTTAGCATTATTTGGTTGTCAGTTTGAAATTTTTGGTAAACAATATTTTTGTGAGAGCTGGGAGCGCCGTCCCCGTCCATTTCGTCACTCGTACCGCATGTCGCGAATGCGATTTCTTTTTTGTTCTTTTGTTGTTTACTTATCGTTTCTAATTCTCTCGTTTAGTTTGATCGAGCCTATTCGATTATAGATGTGCTCTACGCAATGATCTGGCGGGCTCGGGGCAGCTATAAAAGGGCAAGCCTCAAGTGCAACGGATCGATATCGTCACTATCGTCTCAAGCACCGGCTGTGCTTGAGCCCCGATCTCTTCGCTTATTCGGTTCAAGTAAACATTCAAGTTGTTCTGTCCCTTTATTATTTCAAGTGAATACCTCAATTACATTCTACTCCTAGAGAGTTCAAGTCGAGTTGCCTCAAGTCCGAATTTGTTCAGGGTCAAGTGATCAAGAACCCGCGTGGCTGAACTTTCCCATAAGGCGAGCTTAACCTTATGAATTTCGATACCCCAGTCACAACGTCTCAAAAGGCGTAGTGAAGGGATGCTTTTAGACCATGATATCAATATCTGAGGGTTAGCAGAAAATCGATAGGTTCTTTCGAGTCCTAGTTTTTTCGTTTGATAAATTATCACGTGAAGTTCAGCTCCGGCTTAATGGATAGTGCTTGCTTCTCCGTGAAAGTGTCGAAGATAATAAATTGTTAGGACGTCTGAAGCTCAAAGTGCAACGTCAAACAGACAAAAACCAAGCAGATTGTGAGTCATAGGTACTACTTCGTGAATAGATAGCTGCTGAGATACAACCTAATGTTGAGGGCTTTTGGAAGTAGAGAACCCAGTTCTGGTAAAATTGGGCGATAAGCTATACTATCCGCCATTAAGGTTCCCATGTTATAATATAGTTGGGGATGTTGGGAGGGCGGGGCGGGGCTATAAGTTAGAAATAGTTGAAAGGGAAGTTTAAAGAATAGGATACTGCTGCAGTTGCAAGAACGATATGATAGACGAAAGATTGGTTATGGGTGGAAAGTCCTATACGCCGCTTATCGAATAATTACTCAAGAGATGCAGTAGCCTCGTATCCTACACGAGACTACTGTATCTCATGTACCGTATAAGAGTTACGGTAACGTTTGTGTAATTTTTATAGAGTTGCATGATTGGCCTTGTTTACTTGATTTTATTGACTCATAACTTTTTCGTTACAATATCAATCTTATCAAGTGAAGTGAGAAAGATTTATTACACATAAGAGACTGAGTCTGAAAGGAAGTGACCAAGTAAAACTGAGTAAAGCTGGATTTATCGATGTTCTTCAAAATTCAGATCATTAAATCTGTTTAGTACTACTTTGAATGTTTAATCACAGAAAGGTTCTCACAAGGTTTAGAGTTGAATGTAAGGTACATGGTTAGTATCCGTCAAGGGAAATGCAGGTTACGAAAGGGACAGGGATTGGCGTCCTGGATTTTAATTTCATTCCTGAATTCTGTTTTATTCACAAGCCTGAGGAATGACAATTGTGATAAAATTTTATTCTCCGCTACCGCTGTAAGGTAAGATACTCAAGGTAAGAAGGTAGACGTCTAACTAGTCTAACTAGAATTCTAGCGTTTTTTCTTTCTCTTTTTTTTTTCAGAAGCTTTTTAAGAGGGGTTCTTTCGAAAAGTTATGCTGGCTGAAAAGGAGACGGTAGTTTGACCTGGCGAATGATCGACGCTACGATACCATAGGCCCTCTTNCTACCGCTGTAAGGTAAGATACTCAAGGTAAGAAGGTAGACGTCTAACTAGTCTAACTAGAATTCTAGCGTTTTTTCTTTCTCTTTTTTCTTTTTTTTCAGAAGCTTCTTAAGAGGGGTTCTTTCGAAAAGTTATGCTGGCTGAAACGGAGACGGTAGTTTGACCTGGCGAATGATCGACGCTACGATACCATAGGCCCTCTTACACATCTCTCATAAAGACATTGTTAAACCCCTTCTCCCTTCGCTCTTCCTACAACTTTCTCTAACCAGTTTGGGATGATCTTTTTGTTTTTTCCCAACTGAGATTAAGGTTCTCGCTACCGTCATGATCTCTCGCAGCTGCTAAGTTTGGCTTCTTTCTTTCGCGTGTCTTTGAAGCTATATGGATAGGGCATAATGGAGAGGGTAAGGAAATGGTGGAAAAGGGTACAAAGAGTTCAGCAAGGTTTCAAGGAGGAGGATTGGGAGTATTCATTCAAATAGCTATATTTTCTGGGGAATTTATATCAAATTCTATACCAAAATAGACGGGCCGTAACTCTGCACTTGATAGACTGTGTTCATGGGGTATTCCCTTCACTCACTGTTTCTCCTTCCTTTGATTGCCAAAACCTTTTGGTACAGGAGCTTAATTTTGCATTTATTGCGATCAATTTCAGTCTCTTCTGCCTATTATAAATAATTGCTTTTCAAATAACATACTAAAGCTGCGCTTAGCCAGCCGATGTTGTACGACTGGGACTCGGAATCTAGGAGAGGCATCTCTGCATTTGGCTTAAAAACAAGGTGTAGGGCCCTGCACTTAGCAACTCTGTGGTAGCATTCACCCGGTACCACTTATCAGTCCAGGGTGAGAGAGCTACAATATTTACAGCGACCCCCAAATCGGGGCATAATCAAATGTTACTCTATAGGTGCTCAATTTTCAGCGGAATAATCTCCTACATTTCAACTTCCGAAGTTCATGCTGAGTTCTTTCATAAGGCCCAAGGTCAACTGACGATGGGGACGCCTATGTAAACAATTAGAAACACATGAAACTCCGTCAGTGAACAGATGAAATACATGCATTCCATCTCTTTAAACTACTGTAACACATTATCAAAATATTGTAAACATACCGGCGGCAAGTACCAGAGCCTTCGACATTAACGGCAAAATGAATGGTACGACGTTATCAGGGGAAAGAGCTTTTTGTCAAACTTTCCAATCGTTGCAGTGCAACAAAAGCTAGAAGAAATGAGGACCGTGTCACGGGTCACATGAGATAATTTAAAAGCTTCTTCACCAATTGCTAATCATCAAAGTACAGTGTTATGGAAATGGGCGGAGGTAGGGGCAATTTCAAATGGTGCCACTGTCACATAGCATGGTACGAGGACCGAATCGTGGATCGATACTAACCCAGGTTAATCAAGCATCCCACCATTCCGATGTGGGCTGGTTGGTATCAAAATGGAGAAAGGCTACGTGGTCCATCCTCTAGCCACCGTAATTTATTGTACAGGTTACCCATGCATTCAAAACGCTACTTCGATTCAGAATGGAAGCCGAATGCGGAATGTATTCCAAAAATTGGTTTGATTGATTATCTCTGAAATCTCCATCTTTTTCCTTTTACGAGTACTATGATATTCTGGAAATGTAAGTCAAAATCATAAAGTTTCCTAGCATAGACCAACATCTACTGGCCATGTGTGCCCTAGCGATCATAAAGGAGACAGAGAGCTCGATAGTTATTAGGATTATAGATGAACTCGGCTAAACCCCAATAACTTATACCTTACAGAGCAAATTTCCCTTCAAGTTCTATCATTTCCGCTTTGTGATGTCCTACGCACACTCTTTTTCACAAGAATCGAATGGACGAAAAAAAGTGTATTTGACTTGTACATAAATTAACTTCCGAAGACCCTTGATGTATGGGCTAAGGTTCCCATCTTCTTCCATGAAACTGGTGCCTATTAATCAAGCC